TTATTATCATTGTATACTAGAGACACTCCCACCTGGAACTTACTTATGCGTTATTGGAGATTGTTAATTTCAGTCTTAGAGAGGAGCAGAGCAATACATCACCAGGTCTCAAGCGCACCGGGTCAAAACTGTGGCATTAATTGGGTAATGTTATTGATACTTCTCACATGGCCAGAACTGGGGGCAATTCTTGGTATATGTTTATTTTATCTTCGTCGTTGCAAGTACTATTGTTTATTATCTTTATAGGTGAGGAAACTGGGCTCGAGGGGCGTTGATGTAACTTGCTCGAGGCGTCACACAGCTGTAAGGTAGAAGAGCCTAGACTTACGTTAACTTTGTAAATTTAAGTCCTTACCATATGCCACACTGGCCCCTTGGTGGGGAAAGGACTGGGGAAGGGTATTTGGGTATTTGGTCATTGTGCAGGCGTGATTAGGGATTTAGTCAGTAGCTGTCGGACGGACTGTTCACACAGAGTGATGGACTGGGAAGGGATGGGTAGGATGGGATTTTTACGTGGAATTTAAGCCTGCCGGCCTACATAGCAAATACTGCAACTCCCTATTTCCGTTGCCCTCACAGGATGAGATAAGATTGGGCCACGGGGAGCTTGAAATTGTACGTCTATTTACATCCTTTGAATAGGTGCTGGAGGCCAAATTATTCATATTACAACTTAGTCGTTCGCACTCGTGAAATTTTTGGAGAACCTTTCAGTAATTCATTAGGTCTCAGTTCACACTGTCACCTGTGTGTTGGAGCGCTGTTTTATCGTTCCTGGAGCAAGGGGATGAAAGTATATAGGGAACTGACGCTGTCTCCTTCATTCTCTTTAATTTACGATTTTTAATGTCAGTAGAGTAATTAAAGAATGGCATATCAGTGAGTTTGGCTAATTCCCAATTCCCCTCCCGTTAAATCTCCAGTACTTTTTATTTCATTATGTTCATGCCCTGGTTTTTCCAAATGTGAATTATAGGTAGAAAGAAGGTTTCTTTAGAAAGAATTCCCTCCTGTTATCTAATAAATAGCTTCTTGGGCCAGATAAATCCTAAAACTGACTTAATTTTTAGGCCACTCTACCTGAATGCTCCGATTCTTAATGCTAACGCAGGGACTCTCGTGATTTTGAATGTTTCCCCACAAAAACTAGCACTATAGCTAAGGAGAAAACAGGCTGTAATCATCATAGGGCAGTGATTCACAGGGGTCTTCTCAGGGTAGGCAGAGCT